CTGAGAACAGGGATTCCCGGTGCTGAACTGGGCAGTGTCCTAAAGCTAAGTCAGCCCTCTCTTTGTCACCCTAAACCTTGAAACCATTAGATGCAAGAGACAGCCATGCTGGTGGTGGTTTTGAGAAATCAAAGGGAAAGAGGCTTGAGCAGGTGGAGAGAAGAGAACACCGGTTTATGAAGCAGCATGTACAATACTCACTAAAATAGTCAACACTGGCTAGGTGCTTATTTTAGGATGATGGGATTATATGTCATGCTTCTTTTTAAGGCACAGTCTATTCTAAACTTTCTATGTTGAACATGTATCACTTAAATATATGAAAGGGGGAAAATAGCCTATGAACGTTCTATTTTAGAATTGTTCTGGACAAAGTAGATGCTCCCCCTACACCTATGGACTAAGGCACAGAAAGGTGACCTTCAGGACGAGCCCTGGCCAAGTATTTCTTACATCTCCCATGGCACTGAGTACCCTCCCACTAAGTGGCCATGCCCTCCTATAGGCTTCTGGTAGCAGAGCCAGGCCTAGGTTATGTCAGAAGGTCATTCTAGAGACGCCTGAGTGGCTCAGTCAGTTAAGTATCTGCCTTCAGCTCAGGTCATGATCCCATGGTCCTGGGATCGAGTCCTGTTCAGTGGAGAATCTGCTTCTTCCTCTGCCTGCCTCTCCCCCTGCCTGTGCTCTCTGATAGACAGATAGACAGACAGACAGACAGATAGATGTTAGATTGGAAAGAAAAGAAAAAGGAAGAGAAATAAGAAAAGAAAGGGAAGGGAAAACTAAATAGGCACAGGGCCTTGGAAAAGGTCCATGTAAGTATTGGGTTCTGAAGCTTTGGGGTAAATCCACCTCTAAAGGAAATGTCCTTCCCTTCTGACTGGAGAAAGAACTCAGGTGAAGAGAGCAGCCCCCTTCCCCTGCCCTGTGGTGTCCGAGCCAGCATCCTCAACTTGCCTTCCACGGTCTTGCTTTAGCCTCCGTCAGCCAACGTCAAGGGTGTTCCGGCGACCCAGAAATGGGCATGAGGGGTGGCCTCGTTTCCTTTTTGACTTCGCCTCACAAGTTAGGCTTGGTCCTGCCCTCCACCCCCAGGCTTTCCTCACACATCCCTCTGTTAAGCATCAGGTGTGGGCTGGGCCAGAGAGATGTCTGCCTTCTAGAAGTTTTTGGTCTAGGAGAGCAGTTTTCTAAAGTAATCTTAAAACAACCTCCTCTCCCTTTGAGGTCATTCTGTCTGGGTGCCTATGCATACATGGCGCGTTTACCTTCCTAGTGCGTTGGGATCATGGGGGAAGTTCAACTGTATTTAAATGTATGCACACCACACTTCCTCCCGGACACCACCCAAGTTGGGCTTGGAATGAGCCTTGAAGGAAGAGGGAGAGTAAAACTGTTATGGTGGTGGGATATGTTACTCTGTTAGGAGAGTAATACCTTCTGCGGTATGTGAAGGTCTAGAATTTGGCAGCAGCGAACGTACATAAATAAACATATTTTTAATTTACTTCAAGTCAATGCTTGTCTTTACGCATCTTAAACCTGTAAAAATGATCCCAACGAGGAAATAAAAGTTGTGGATTTTTAAAAAATTAAAACCTGGACGTGAAAGCCCAGGAAATTTTTGTTGCCTATAATTTAATTCCTAACGTATCTGACACAATCCAAGTTTAACAGATTTTTTTTCTTTTCGATTCTGGCAAGCATGTTAACAGGAGGTAATTATGTGAATTAATAGAAAATCCTTTGATTAAAAAAACAGAAAAGCCTTCATTTAAAGAGGTAATTTAATATTCCTTCTGTGATGGTGTTGATGTCATAACTTGTTTGATTAACTCTTCAAATGGATTCAAAGTGCTTCAGGGTGGTAATTTATGAAGTCTTAATTGATTTCCCCAATCTTGGTGAGGCAGAGTTGAGCCTCCCGAAACCATGAGGAGGCTGGAGGCTCGTACCCGGCTTCCTCCTCACACATGGGAGCAGGCTGGGATGGACTCTACCTCTGTGGCCTGGACCCCAGTGGGGGGGAGAAGAGGCTCTGGCGCTGGGGGCAAGAGATCATGACCTCTGACCAGGCCAACTGTGGTTCTTGAGTCCTAAGCAGCTGGGTTTTTTGCCTCCTCTGTGGATGTGTGGAAATACTGCAGGAGATTTCACAGCTCGTGAACTCAGCAATAGATGGCCTCTTACCCCACAACTTTCTAGATCTATTTCTCCCTGTGCGTCACCCCAGAACACAAGGCTTCCATGAATGGGAGAAGACAAACTGGGGTAAATGGTGGGCGTGCAGCCCTCGCCATGGGTCTGCCACTGCTCCGTTTCCCTGTCTAGGCTTCTGTTACTCAGTAGGCCTGTCTTGGTGTTGTACAGAGGCGGCCCTGGGCCATGCACTCACTTCTTGGAGCTGCTGCGAATGCTCACTGAGTAATCAAGGCCTGGCAGGGCCCCAGGAAATAATCATACAGTTGTTGCCCCTATTGTGTACCTGGGGATAATCTACTCTCCAATCTCTTAGACAGTGAACAGCTGCCCACTTCACAGATGAGCAAAATGAGGGTCAGAGGTTAGGAACACGGTATCAAGTGGTATGACTGGGGCTCTACCCGGGCAACCAAGCACCCCCACCCGTGTCAACAGAAGGTCACTGTATTCTTGCTCACAAGGTTTACGCTCCCGAGGGCGGGCCTGGGCCTTCCATTTGTGTGCCTCCAACCCTAAGGTATATCCCAGAAGTGGTGAGTAGTGGTGCAAAGAGCTCTCCGTGGCAAGCTTGGAGTCTAACAAACCTGGACTTTGGCTTCCTCATCTGTAGAATGGGCTTAATATCCACCTCGCCGGTTGTTGAACTGAATGAGATAAGTCCTTGGCACATCGACAAGGGCTCAGAAAACATTCCATGGAAGGGGATAAGAAAGCACTGGGGAGGCTGGATGGGGAATTCCCAACTGTGTCGGGAGCTAAGTTCTGAGCCAGGAGTAGGGAATAGTAGGTAGAGCGTTTGGCCAAGGCCAAGGGTTTCTGTAGGGTATGATGGGAATGTGGCATAAATAAGCCTGAACGTCTTCCTATGGGTAATGAGGCTTGTTTGCTCATGTGCTAAGTATGAGCAAGGCTTTGGGGAGGAGAAAGGACTCTCTCCAGCCTGTTGACATCTGGTGGCCATGCCAGGCTACTGTGAAACTTGGCTCTCTATTTACTGCAGAAATGGGGGGCCCAGACAATCAAGGGTCCCTGGGGGCAAAAATTCACACACCGTCTGCTCTGGGGTCAGGCTGAGGAGGACGAGCAGAGCAGTGACCCCTGGCACTACTCCCTGGAGTGGCTCTTCCTTGGGGGCTGGGCCCAGGCTGGAGTTCAGCATCAAGGGAAGCAGGGGAGCGCGAGGTCATCCCCACTCCACCCCACGGGGGAGGAACCAGAGCACAGTGCCTGTGCCGTCAGACTCGAAGGTACACACTGCCGCTGTCTGGGCTGTGGGACGTGGACAGTCCACTCCACTCCTTTGGATCTCTGCTTCCTCATCTGAAAATGGAGACGGGGAGGTCCCTCCCTCACAGGGCCATTCTAACTCTGAGGAACAAATGAGTTCATGCTGAAAAGAAAAGCTTTTGGAACCGTTCCTGACCTGTTGTTAGTACCGGGAAACATTACAGAGCCAAGCCCCGCTGCGTGGAGGGCAGGCGGCCCCCTCCCCGAGTGGACTCAGCGGGGCCTCAGCAGGGTTAGGAGACATGTGAACAGCCAGGTCTCCAGCCTCAGTGCCCCTGCTCTGCTCCTCACCCCTTGTGGGGTAGACAAGAGCCACAAGAATGCTACCCTCAGACCCAGAGTCCCCTCCAACCCAGTGACACCCCAGGACTGACATGTTCCCAGGGAGGGCTTCCAGTTTACCAGATGGGGGTGAACCATGGCCCCCCTTGTCATCCTTAGCACAGATGTGAAGAGCCCCCTAACTCCTCAGACCCTCTCCCACATCTCACCCCCTAAACTCAGGCCCAAGTCTCTTTTCTTGTACAGATCTCAGCTCAGAAGCCCTTCAAGCATTGTGTATAAGTGTCATTGGTGGGGCCAAAGTGATTTTCTCATGAATAGAACAAAAGGGGTCCATCAATGAAAGGTCAGGGCAACTGAACGAAGACCAAGTACCAGGGACACCCAGGGCCTGGATCTGAATGAGGAGGTCCCTCCATGCAGGCACCTCACGCCCCCTCCCTTCTTACTTGGGTGCTTTTTTCCTTGGAACGTTTCAGCTTTCCTGAGCAGTCAGAGCCCCCCACTCCCCACAGCTCTCGGGTTCCAGGCCTGTGAGGAGCCACCGGGCCACGGGACAAGAGCACCAGGATCTACGGGGAGAGCCCTGGCCTGAGAGGCAGGACGGCTTCCCACGTTCTCACCAACACATGGGGCTGTTTTGGTGATCCAGTCCCCCCATCTCTACCAGAGCCGTCATCCCCATCCTCATCCTCCCACCAGAACTGGGAAAAGCTTTGAAAATGGTCACTCCATCCAAATGATGCTTAGCATTATCCAGAACATAGAAAAATTCTCATCCCTGGGATTCTGAGTCCTACACTTGTAATGTGTGCTGCCCTACACAAGATGTGAGTCCCTACAGTGTGTCTCTCTCCCCTCCTGCTGAGATCTCCTTCCCCTCCGCTGGCTGAATGGACAAATGTCTACATTTCCTTACTGGAAAATGACGTGTGACCCTGTGGATGCAATGCCTCACAAGGGCCCGCTGAGCTCTGACCCACCCGATTATCCGTTAGAAATGGTCACTGAACTGGAAACTCAGATTAGGAGAGAGGGAAGCTGAGGACATTCCATGGAGCCTCTAGAGCAAGATGGGGCAACAAGACGCCTGCCACACTAAAAAGATGTGAGCTGTTCCCTGCCACTCTAGAAACAGAATCAAAAGGGTCTTCTAGCCCCCACACCCAGGCCCCCAAAGAACATGACTGGACCTGACAGGTGTCCGCGTCCCCGACGAAAGGCCTTACCTGTGTGTGCTGGGGCCTGGCTGGGTCAGGAGGTGCTGGTCTGTGGGGCGCGTGGCAGCCGCACTCCTGACCACCTCCACTGGCATCCACGAACCTATTTTTAGGGTTAGATCTGCTGACGCTGACCTTGAGCGCTGCCCAGTCTGGGAAGAGACCCGTGGCATCTGCTTGCAAAGTGATGGGCCAGTGTGACCTGAAACCCTCGACTTTGGGAGCCCTGTCCCTGGAGCTCACACACTTGTCCCTGGCCCAGTGACAGAGGCGGGACACATGGCCGCCCAGAGCGGGGACAGGCAGGGGAATTTCCCAGCTTTGTCTTCTCAAGATGGATGAGGCCAGGTGTCCGTGGGGCCCTGCCCTGGGCTTTGTGCCAGAACAGCTGGAACAGGGGAGGTTTGCCAGCCAATGGAGAGCCTGTGGGAGGGTTGGGAGCACCCAGACTGGAGAAGGGCTCTCCACTCCAGTCTCTTCCCGGAGTTCAGGCAGCCATCTATTGGGGGAGCAGGGAGGTGTGCGGAGGGAAAGGTTGCTGCAGTATGGGGGGCAATCCATGAAACTCAGCAGACAGAGACTCTGTAAACCTGGGTTCATTTACATTGTGTCATTTCATGTGAGACCTCCAGCAAGTGCCCAACCCTTCTGGGCTTCAGTGGAGAAAATAATCACAATGCTGTCCTCTTGTGATTAGGAGGGCTACATGAGATAAAGAAGGGAAAACACTTGGCTAACATTTAAAAATGATATGAGGAGGCCCAAAAATATTTCCAACTCAACAGTCCCTCCCAAGTCTCTCTTCTTGGTGGTGCCTTCTCTTAATCTCCCACCTCTTTGGTTCTGGGCTTCTTTGCCCCAGGGGTTCCCTCCCATGCCCTGCTACTATGATCCCCTTTTTAGTGCTGAGGGCCATAGTCCTGTCAAGGCTCCTCTAATATTCTATTAAAATCTTTCCTGGGCTTCCTACAGTTCCTTCTGATGAATGAGGTCCTAGTCACCTCCTTTCAGACTCTTACTCTAATGTGTGAAGGATCAGGAGGAGGGTGAAGGGGTCACCAGTCTTCTTGTGTTGGGGTCATTAACTGTCCACTGCAACTTTGAACTCAGCAACCCAAAGATCTTCCTCACAATTTGCATGTTTAGTTACTGCCAGTTTTATTTAGGGTGATTATTTCTACCAGTATTTTTCTTTGTGAAACTGCTGAAAGACTTAGCTTTTATTGATTTCTTGGTGCGAAGAATAGTCCCAAGGCCAAGACTCAGGACCCGAGTGTATAACAAGGTCAAAACATCAGGGTCCAAATGTCCTCTCGGTGAAGAGCTGACGCCAGAGCAGTGGGGTCATAGGCTCTTCTGCAAGTAGCCCAGGAACTGAAGGAGTCAGAGACGCTGGAACCGTCAAGAGTTGGAGAATGACTTCTGCCTAGCCAGGAGTTCCAGCCCCTGCCCTAACCCCAGCCAGAGTCAAAGGTGAAGGAGGCAAAGGGGGCCTCTGTAGGTGTGTAGGTTCAGCAGCAGACAAAAATCAAGTATCTAAAGATACCTAAGATAGATAGATAAGTGACTGATGAGAGTGGGAGATAATATTTCACACTGTCTAGGAGGGATATTCAAGTGAATAAAGGCAAGAAAAGAATCAGGTGGGATGTTGGATTATCACCTGCATAGAGTAGACCCTACATGTAGTTGATCAGAATACTGACGACCCTCTCCCCCACACCTCATATGCCCCCAGTCCTCCACATATTCAAGTATGCCCAAAGTGAGTGACAAGACTGGGGAAGGGTGGAAAACTGCATCAGTAATTATGAGGAATTGTAGGAAGTCCTGGGAAGATTTTATTAGAAAAGAGTGGTGGTGGCGTCAGGAGACATCTGGCCTGTCTTCTAGCAGCTGAAGGGCTGACCTGTGGTGGGAACAATAACATTTTCTTTTCTTTTTAAGATTTATTTATTCGAGAGAGGGAGAGGGAGAGAGTGGAGTTGGGGAGAAACAGACTCTCCATTGAGCAGGGAGCCTGATGCGGGGCTTGATCCCAGGACCCTGAGATCATGACTTGAGCCAAAGGCAGAGATTTAACCCACTGAGCCACCCAGGTGCCCCCGTTTAAAAATATATATATATTTTATTTGAGAAGGAGAGCATGAGCACGAGTAGGGGGAGGAGCAGAGGCAGAGGGAGAAGGAAGGAGAAAGAATCTCTAGCAGATTCCACACAGAGCCTGGGGCTCAATCTCAAGACCCTGAGATCATGACCTGAGTCAAAATCAGGAGTCAGAGGCTTAACTGAATGAGCCACCCAGGCACCCCTACAATAGTCCTTTCTTCGCAACTCTAAGGGCAGAACTCGGGCACTGGGTAGTTCCCCCAAGTGTTTTTATGTGGACTCAGCAAACACACCATTCTGCTGGGATGGGAGCAAGCCAGGTAACCATCGGCTGGACCTGGTGATGTCTCCACCGACTCCAACTGCCAGGGTTAGTCCCCCAGGATTCTGTGCAACAGCAAGTTGCAACGGTAAAGTAAGCAGAGTATGATCCTGTAGAAACAGCTGTTATGTTCCTTGCAGCTTCTTGGAATTTACATTTGACACAGGTTTCTCCCTACCACCACTTCTCTGACCCATGTTCTTTTCATTAACAAACTTCTCTTCCCCAGAAGCTCCCATACTTTCTCCACTTTCAGATACAGGTAAACACTGCTCTTTGCCCCAACTTCTCTGGATCAGAATCTCACCTGGGTCCAGTGACAAGGTGTGACTCCCCAAGTCAAAGATGTCCACGTCCCAATCCCTGGGACCTGTGAATATGTCACGTTACAAGGCAGAGGGGAGTTAAAGTTGCAGATGAAATGAAGGTTGCTAATCACTGACCATAAACTAGGGAGGGTGTTCTGGATCATTCAGGTGAGTCCCGTGTTATCACAAAGGTTCTTAGAAGTGGAAAGAGGCAGCAGGGGAGACCCGCATAGTGCAGTGTATGAAGGATTCAACTCCCCATTCTGGTTTTGAAGATGGAGCCACAGCCAAGTAGGAAAATGCAAGGAAACGGATTCTCCCCTAGAACCTGCAGAAGGAAGGCTGTTCTGCCAACACCTTGACTTTAGCCCAGTGAGGCCCACGTCACGTTTCTGACCTACAGAACTGAAAGGTAATACATGTGTTATTTTAAGCCGCTAAGTTTGAGGGAATTTGTTACAGCAGCAATAGGAAATCGATACGTGAGATTTGACTCATTAAAGGGCTTTCCTGAGTCCAAAAGACCCAGAGGCTCCTAGTGCTCTTTGGATGCCTGAGTTTATGTAGACACTAAACCCAGCTTGAGCCCAGGGAAGAGGGCTCCCACCCAGAGAGGGCCGAGGGCGCCTCTCCATAGCAGATGTGTGTAGTCTGATGACTGCAAGTCCTCTGCTCTCCCAGAGGTCTCTTTTCTCTCATATTAAACGAAGCAAAACAACCCACCCAATGTCATTGTGTATGGCAGAGAGGACCAGAGCGCAAAGCAGGAGACAACTCCACAGACTTCTGTCCCCGTCCCTGCCCTGTCCACAAGGCTCCTTTCAGTAGGTGCTACCACAGATTTCCTTCTTGTCCATTTTTGGTCTCTCACCTACCCCTCTCAAGCTGCGTGTTCAAGAGGCTCCAGATTCCTCTTCCCTTCCGACTGTGCAGAGTGGGTGCTCCTTCTCTGTCTCAGCCTCCCATGCAGGCTGGGCCTAGGGCCTCCCTCTCTCACCAAAAAGCCTCCCCAAGGCATTTTTCCTGGCTGTGTCATCGATCCAAAGGGGGAATTTTTTTTACTCCCCTAGACAGTAATATCCATAGATCCTGGAACAGGAGATCCTGCCCTGAGCTTGTTTTTTAGAGGTTTCTGCATATCACAAACGTACAATCATCGAGACACTGCTACATACCTGTTAGAATGGCTAAAGACAAACAGAAAACAATACCAAACTCTGGTAAGAATGTTGGCGGGTGCTGGAACTGTTGTGTGTCTTGGTCACAGTGATGGTTATACAACTAAATGTCCTTGTCCGTGAAACCAGGAGGAGTGAATTTTGCTATATGTAAATTTTTTTCTTGGGGTTTTTGTTTATTTGTTTTTGTGGGGTTTTTTTTAAGATTTTATTTATTTATTTGACAGAGAGAGATCACAAGCAGGCAGAGAGGCAGGCAGATGGAGAGGGGGAAGCAGGCTCCCTGCTGAGCAGAGAGCCCGATGTGGGGCTCGATCCCAGGACCCTGAGATCATGACCTGAGCCGAAGGCAGAGGATTAACCCACTGAGCCACCCAGGCGCCCTTGCTATATGTAAATTTAGAAATAAAATGGATACATGGTTGGGGCGCCTGGGAGGTTCAGTCTGTTGATCATCTTCCTTCAGCTTAGGTAATGATCTTGGGTCCTGGGATGGAGCCAGAGTCAGGCTCCCGCCTCAGGGAGTCAGCCTCCCTCCTCTTCCTCTGCCCCTCCCTGCACCCACTCATGTGCGTACATTCTCTCTCTGTCTCTGTCTCTGTCTCAAATAAATAAATAAATAAAATCTTTAAAAAAGTAAAAGGAAACATGGGTGCTTTTTCCACTTGGGATCTGGCTTTCAGCACTGGCCGAGTGTTATGAGAAGCTCTACTCCCTTTTGTGGTTAACACCGTTCTTGCTCTGGGTCAGAACAAAAGGTAACTGAGTCTGAATTCCATACATGTTGGTGGGTTGTGTTGCTGCTCACCTTGGAGTATAAACAGGATCTGAGCTGCAGTAAGAGAGAAGATGGCTTAGTCTGCTTACCCAATGGTCCACCCAGTACAAAAAGCCAGTGGTGGTGAGTGCCCGTGGTGTCTCTGTGCTCTGCTTCGGGGTTCTGGAGGGCATCCAGAATCAGTGTGATATTCACAACTGTTTCACAGCAGCTAAAGAAGAGGTTGGTGTATTAAGCAATTCTGAGTATTCTTTTAGGTATACGTAGGTAGGCCTAGATGTAAGAAGTGTGAAGCATAATGCCAATTCTTTACATCAACTACTAGAATTATCAAGGATTTTCTTTTATTTTTCTTTTTTTTTTAAATGATTTTATCTCTAACAATAGTTTGGAAGACCTTTCGAAGAAGTCAGTGAAGACTTTCAGGTTCATTTAGACGATTTTGATTTAAAACCTTGATATTCAGTAATTATGTATT